TTTGATTTGAAACTGTCTCATTGCTATCTGTTTATCAATAAAACTTTGAAAACAAAAATTAAAAAAATAAATAAAAAATAAAAAAAAATTTCTAATAGCTAATGAATATACAAAAATATTCTTGGGCCAGCCAGATAGCTCAATGGACTTTACTCAGATAGCAAAGTGCCTTCTTCGGCAAGCATAGGCAAGTGCAGAGACTGTGGTTCAATCCCTGGTACCATGTGCCATGCCAGCCCCACCCCCAGGGCGTGCATGCCTGTAATCCCAGTGCTGGGGAGACTGAAAAACAAGAAGATCTCTGTGAGTCTGAGTTGCATATTGAGACCTCGCAACAACCAAATACATTAAAACAAAATATTCTCACCTTCATTATTAATTAATTAAACATATGCAAGCAAGTATAAACACTATGTTTTTTTCCTTCATTGGATTGATATTCCTTAATAGATTTTGGAATATGAATGAAGTTGTGGATAAACAGGTCATTTCCTTAAACCCTAGGTGTGAATGCAAATGTAAAGGCTTGAAAGGCAATGTGAGAATAACCACAAAATTTATAAAATATATGAACTCTGACCCAGAAAACCTACTTCTAAGATCATGTCCTTTAGGGATACTGTTCTAAGTAGGCCAAGATATTTGCATAAAGATTTCTCATATAGCATTATTATAATAGCTAACATTTTGTAATGCCTTAGTAGACTGGGTCATGAAATATTAAAATAGCCAAGATGTATAAGATGTATTTTCAAATTAAAGTGCAATTTGTATTGCTGTCTGTAGAATGTGATCTTACTTTTGTAAAAGATATTCCATGTCTTGATTGTAGAATATTTCTGAGGAATGCGTATGATATGGTTGGCAGTGGTTGTGTCTCGGAAGAGGAAATAGAAAGAAAACTTTGCTTTTCAATGTGGGCCCTTTTGCACTATTAGAATTTTTAGTGAAGATTTATGTACTCTCTCAGAATGACAACATACTAAAAACTATAAAAACTTATGTTAAAACATAGCCCATAAAGCATGAAGAAGTGTCACAGTGTAGATGGATGTAAGAAGTTGGATAAGGCTATGTTTCAGCCTCATTTTCCCATTACTCGCTGTGTCTTTAAGCCACTTATTTCACCTCTCTAAGCCTCAGTTTTCTCTCCTGAAAGGTGGGGATGAATCTGTCCCCCACAAATGTGTCTGAGTTATTAAATGGGGTCCTGCCTAACCACTGCACAAGGCCTGAAGTGGTTATGGCTCAATTAGTGTTGATGATACAGTACTGACAATGATGATAATGAGAAACACACTCCTCCCCTCCCCACCCCATTGTTCTTCCCAATTCATATCCTGATGGACTCTAATGACACAGTTCATCCTGGCTGGGCAAGAAGCGCTAGCTGCTATGATAAAAATATCAGAATAACAGGCAGGGAATTACGAAACCTAGGGGATGAGGATAAGCAGAGAATTACAAAATCATAAGCATAGTGTAGGGGGTGCTGGCCTCCTGGGTTGTGAGACAAGGATGGCAGCACTAAGCCAGCAGAACATGTCTGCATTCTTGAAAGAGGTCATTCACAAACTGGCAATGGTCCTTCAGATCTCAGAGGAAAACTGGCTGCGGAGGATGCTGCTGATGAATGGACTAGTGGGTGAAAGGCAGGAAGAGTGAGTTCTTTGGGTGGGAAAATTTACATCTGAAGTCAAGTCACTTCTTAGATGTGAAAACAAGCTACCTATACCAGGCAGCTTGAGTAGAGACTAAACTCTGAACCGGAATTCCCAGATAAAGATGCTTGTTTAATTCTGTCTCCATTCTCTATAATACTCAGGGATCCAACCAAGAAAAAGTGAGTTTCAGCCTATATTTTGCTTTATGTGAGTATGAGTATGTTTGCCCACCATTGTGTGATCTTTTGATTTTGAAATAAATTCCAGGGGCAGAGATAGTTAGTGTATCCTTTGTACATCTTTTTTCCAGATACATTTGAGTCTAACTATTTCCTGTGGACAAAAATCACAGAATTCAAATTCAGGGGGCAGATGGTCATGATTTCTATCTAGTATGACTTTTTTTCCCACTTTATAACCCAGAAGATTGATATCAATATAAAAAGGATATTTAGCCAAGCTCATACAGCTAGTTATTTTCAGTGCCTACTCTAAAATATTCATCTCAATAGCTCTAAGCATACTTTTGCCATAATTCACTTCTCCTTAAATAGGGATTTGGAGTTCCGTTCACAGGAGGGCATCACTAAACAGGTACAAAGTTATCAAGAAGGAGTTTTCTCTCTCTCTTATTATATTTAATGGCCACAGATCAAAAGACAACCTGCAGAATGGTGAGATTTGATTCATGGGAACATTTCCACCTCATTTCATCCTGCTTGCCTGGTCTCTGCCCTAGTCATCTGTGTCCTGTCATTTAGGAATCACAGAATGTCTCTCCAAAAAGGCCACACAGATAACTAATGCTAACACACTATTTCAATGTAGAAAATAAGCAAAATTTATATTCCATGTAATAAAGGAAGAGCAGGAGTAGAGATTCATTGGAAGTCAAAAGACTCACCAGACACAAAATAGCCTAATGTGCTCAGGGTCAGAAGAACCCATAAGAACTCTGGATTTTCTTTTGCATCATAATTTCAGATTAGAATACAGTCTATGTTTTAGAAAGTCTTCTAAGCATTGTTATTGAAGACTGTTAACTCAACAAGACTTCTTAACTATGCTGCTGGAAAAGTCCAGCTTCCCAAAACCATATTTCGAAAAGGTGCTCTGGAGACAAGATGTACACACAGATACCAACACAGAGGGCAGCTTTAGCCTCAGCTACTGCTTCTGGGAGCAGGAGGCATGGTCAGTTCTTGGTTGTGCTGCTGGTGAGCAGAGGCAACTCACCTGTGGCTTTGAGTGTCATCAACTCACTGCGCTGAGCTTCCAGGCCATTGTCAGCCTCACAGGAGTAGTTTCCAGAATGTTCCATGGTCAGAACAAAGTGGAAAGATGCCCTTCCTCCAGAGGGGGCAGAGCTGGTTTTCAGGATGACATCCTCATGATAAAACCGGTACAGGATCGGGGGAGAGCCTCTCAGGGCCTCACAGTGAAGCTCCACCATATCCCCCACCACAGCCTGGGCCCTGGAACTCCTGAGGGTGAAGACAGGGCGAGACACTGGAACTGCAGAAGGAAAAACAGCCATCAGCTCCTCCTGCTTAAATGTACTCTGCCATACTAAATGTATTTCATCCAGAAACTACATTCCTTAGATTTTAATGACCTTGTGATATTACTGAGAAGTCCTCTGTAATTTCTTCAGCTATCAGGAAACAACAGCATTTCTATTGTGCTATTTGTAGTTTGGAGTACTTACATATATACAAACTGAAATGTGTTTCAAGGATCTGAAAGCAAATATTAAACTGAAACCTGGGCATCTGAGAAGTCAGAATACTGTTCTGGAAAGGGGGAAATCAGTTCAAAGAGGATCATTTGTTTACATAGCCACAGCATAGGCCCTACCCGAGGCCTGCCAAGCCAACCCTCAAAACTGGGCATGGTGTCACATGCCTGTAATCCCACGCTTGGGAGGCTGAAAACAGGAAGATTACTATGAGTTGGATCTATGTAGTGAGACCCTGTCGACCCTGTACTAAATTATATTTGAAGAAAAAAGTAGAGAAAATTCAGAAGGATTGGCCAAATAGAGAGGTGATACAGGAGAAAGTGGAATCACTGAAACTACAGAAAGGAGAAGGATTTCAAGAAGACAAAACAGCAGTTGGGATAGCATATCATTGACCATTCTGATTATCTGTCAAGAGGGGAAAATTTTTAAATTATATATTTTTTTAATTTTATGTATTTGATACAGAGTTTCCAGCTTGGACTAGTAGTAATCCTCCTGTCTCAGCACCCCAGTGCTAAGATTACAGGCATGGGCCACCACACCCAGTCTTGGGGGCCGGTTTGGCACACCCAGGGCAGGGCCCACACTGTGGTACCTTGGATTAAACCCAGGTCCTTGTGCTTGCCTAGACAAGTGCTCCGACTGCTGAGCTACCTCTGCAGCTTCAGAATTACATTTCTAGATGGTACCTTTTCAACTAATGTATCTCTAAAAGTTTGTTTGTAAATCTTATGTGTTCTGGTGTGTTTCAAGATTTCAAATGAAGTGATCCCTGCATTCCCTGAAGTTGTTTAGTATCAGCCCAATAAACTAAACAGTCAAAGGAAAGCATAGGAAATGAAGAAATAAGTTCTGTCTGGTTTCATATAATCTTAGCTCTTTTTAAGATCTGAAATACATCTTTAAGTTACTTCAGCTTGTTTGACAAGGCAGATTGATATTTCTATCAAAAACTGACTTTCTTATTACAGCAAATCTTTGTGAGAAACAAAATTCTCTTCATAAAGGAAAATGGTAAACAATGTGTGATATTTCTGAGTGGTCAAGTAGGAAGATCGGAAAATACTCACTTGGTCTGTATACTTGCAGATCAGTGGTATGTTTGTGAGAAATAGTATGTTGTGGAAGTTGAGAGCAGTAGGTAAGATTAGAAGCAGTAGGTAATGCAGTGTTGGTGGCATCCTGAGTGGCTCATTTTTTCAGCTGTTTAACCATAATGGAGCAGTGAGTTGAGGAGAATGGGGGCAGAGGGTTTGCTCAATAGAGGGTTCTTCTTAGGTATGGATAAAATGTGGCATGGTAATTGCCAGGGAAAGAATCCAACAAAGATGTTGAGAGCCAGAGAAGAGACAGGTATAACTGGTTTTTTGAACTTTCTGAGAAGGAATGAAAAGGCAAAATCTAGAGAACACAAGGAAATGGTTACTGACTTAGGGGGCAGAATGTCCTCCATATCTAAAAGCAGGAGCGATGATTTACTGAGTAGACACAGAGTCAGTGTGTAGTTTAGTGATAGGAGTGAAAGGTGGTATTGTCTGATGAATGAGGTAGTGAGTAGAGGTGTTAATGAATTCCAGGTTCTGTTGAGATCTGAGAACAACAGGAGGAGGCAGCAAATGGATGGATACGAGGTTGTGCTCAGGCAATAAACACTTAGAATTGCCATTTTGTAGGTGGACTAGTGTGCATGTGTAGATGCAAATGGTTGATATAGAAGGACAGGCCTCGGTATAGACATGAGAGTCATGAAATGATGGGCAAACATGGACTAGACAGGAAAACTGTGAGTAACGTGCTGAAGCTTTTAGTGAAAAAGCTGTGGCTAGGCTGCCAGGTCAAGGGGAAATGAGATCTGGTGGAACAGGGAAATAAAAGAAGGCAGGGGGAAGATGCTGGAATCTCTTCTAGCAAGGTTTTCTGGCAGGGAACACAAGCTGTTCTGCCACAGGTGCGGAAGCTGGGAGATATTTGTGAGCCACCAAGAAAATCAAACAGAGAAACATAACCAAATAAATCTCTTCTGAAGTTGGACACAGGGAAATAACTGTATAGTTTCCTTTTGTATATTCAGTATTGATGAGAATGCAATTTGTGTTTTCAGAAGCTTTTACTCTCCCATTAAGAACATTATTGCCACAAAAGAAAAAGCAGCTGTGAAAAACGGCATACATTCTTAAAACTGTAAAACCCCAAATTCCCCAGGGATATTGTGTGACCACAGGACTCCCATGATGTCACATAGCAGGTGGTTTTCT